GCCATAGTGGATAGCTCCGCCAATTTCGACCACCTGGGGTTCTTTAACGTGCACCCAAATTTGAGCACACGGGCCTACAACATTTCTGCCTCCATCGAAAATGCAGCCGCCGCAGCCGGGATTCAATCCCGCGACCTGCGGGTCCGCAGCCGAGAGACCTCATACTGAGCCGCTCACTCAAAAATATATCGTGGTCCCGTACGCAACACACGCTTCGAAGCGACCGTTACATTATGTGGAATCGGGGCGTCGATAAAGTATATATAAACAACCTGGAAGAAATCTACAGGGGATCTACTGCTACCATAGTGCTTCATAAAAAAGCAACAAAATACTAATCAAGAAGGGTAAGGCCGCGAGACACAATCTCCCCAATGCTGTTTACTGCGTGCTTACAGGTTTTCAGAAGCCTAGAATGGGAACGGTTAGGGATAAGAGTTAATGGAGAGTACCTTAGTAACCTGCGCTTCGCCGATGACATCGCATTGCTGAGTAACTCAAGGGACGGATTGCAACTCATGATTGCGGAGTAAGACAAGAAGAGCAGAAAAGTGGGTCTTAAAATTAATCAGCAGAAAACTCAAGTAATGTACAACAACCTTGGAAGAGAGCAGCGCTTCGAGATAGGTAATAGTGCACTTCAAGTTCTAAAAGATTATGTCTACCTAGGGCAGGTAATAACCGCGGAGCCGAATCACGAGATTGAAGTAACTAGAAGAATAAGAATGGGCTGGATCACACTTGGCAAGCACTCTCAAATTATGATAAGTACGTTGCCACAATCCCTCAAGAGGAAGGTACATAACAGCTGTATCTTGCCGGTATGTAACTACGGAGCAGAAACCTGGAGACTTACAAAGAGGGTTCAGCTTAAATTGAGGACGACGCAGTGAGCAATGGAAAGAAAAATGGTAGGCGTAACCTTAAGAGACAAGAAGAGAGCAGAGTGGATTAGGGAACAAACGGGGCTCAAGGATACCATAGTTGAAATCAAGAAGAGAAAATAGACATGGGCCGGGCATGTAGCGCGTAGACAGGATAACCGCTAGTCGTTAAGGGTAACTAACTGGATTCCAAAAGAAGGCAAGCGGGTTAGGGGGAGACAGAAGGTTAGGTCGGCAGATGAGATTAAGAAGTTTGCGGGTATAAATTGGCAGAAGCAAGCACAGGACCGGGTTAACTGGTGGAACATGGGAGAGGCCTTTGTCCTCAGTGGACGCAGTCAGGCTGATGATGATGACTACATTATCGCCAAACAAATACCTTACACACTTCACAGGCCTCGACTACTCCCCCATAATCTTATTCAATAGGACGCTATACGGTCCACTCGTCGGGAGCTCCCCAATACCCCAATTCTAGACATTGATCTTTGGGTCACATCTCTGTGGATGACGTTACCGCGCACACACAACACATGACCACACCACACAACACCCCTACATTGGACACACGCCTAGCCCACCTCTGGGAGGCGCACTACAGCATTCAGGAGAGATGAAAACGGCCGAAACATAATAGAACGCTAAAACGCCGACTGGCCACGCTACAGACACAAATAACTGCGCACGCTGAGGAGCTGTGCCGTTCCAACTGGAGCCAGGTCTGCAACAGCATAGCTTGCAAACTTTCCACAAACATGCATGGCACCTCCTACGGCACCGTACAAATCCTACATACTCACACACAACGTCAAAACATCACACTACACGCCTATTTCACAACTCGACGCTTTCCCCTGACAGTCTTCTGGACCAACTCCGCACAACACACACAATACCCGGCCCCTCCACCCCTATCCCACCCTACAAAGGAGCCCCGAATGAGAATCTGGACAAGGAACTTTCGGAGCAAGAGGTTTTTCTGGCCTTCCGAAACATCCGCATAAACTCCGTACCGGGAAAAGACATGATTACTAACTCTATGCTCCGTAACCTGGATGATCAATCTATTGCCAGATTACAGAATACTTTAATAAATGCTGGAAGGAAGGCACCCTGGCACAATCCTGGCGCCATGCCAAGATTATCTTTGTCCCTAAACGTAACAAACCCTTCACCATATCAATCCTTCGGTCTATTTCACTCTCATCGTGTCTCAGGAATCTTCTCGAACAAGTTGCACTAAACAGACTAACTCAACACATGCACGACCACAATCTATACCCGCACACTATGGTGAGCTTCGGCCCATGTCTCTCTACCCAAGATGCCATGCTTCAACTGACGCACGACATCCTTGATTCTACAATCACTGCTCATACTAAAGCCGTCGAACACCGAGCGATCATGGCAGTTCTTTCCCCCCTCAATGTGGGCCCTCGCATGTACGCATACATACAATCCTTCCTCTTGGGACGCACGACCGAGGTTCATATGGGCCCCCATGCGTCCCCTTCATACACCCTCGGCGGAGTAGGCGCTCCGCAAAGTTTTGTCCTTTCCCGTTTTCTCTTCAATGCCCCACTCATTTTCTTAACCCGTGCTCTCGATACTATCCCTCACCTTCACCTTACCCTCTATGCCAACGACATCGCTCAGTGGACTACCCACGGTAGTGATGGAGACTTAGAGGAAACATTACGAACCGCTGCCAACAACACAGCAACACGCACAAAGCATTGGCCTCCCCTGCTCCCCGGAAAAATCTGAGCTTCTTCTCATACGCCCTTCACCATGTACTCTTCCCAATACCCCTATTACTATTACTCTGACCAGCCGTGCTACCCCGAAAGTCGACACACTCCGGATCTTGGGCTGTATACATCCAAAAAACGGCCGTGACACTTTCACCATCCAGAAACTGAAGCAAGTGACGTAAGCGCTCTCGCACCACGTCCACCAAGTTTCTGGCCAACATTATGGCATGAAAGAACACGATTTGTGTCGACTCATTCATGCCTTCATATGAGCCGCTTCCTTTATACAGTCCCATATATCTCGAACTTCGACAAGAATAAATAGCCACCCTAGATGCCAAGCTTCGAAAGGCTTACTAGGTGGCTTTACATCTCCGTCCTAACACCCAAACCACTAAACTCCTTCAACTTGGGCTTCATAACACTACACACGAACTGATAGAGGCCCACAGACAAGCCAATACACTCGTCCCGCTACGACTTTTACTCAACACCACGTACTTGACACCCTCAACATTCAGATACAAGCAGGCGACCCTTCACTCCTACCAGTCCCTTCACTCATACACACACAGCTCACCATAAAGCCTCTCCCTAGAAACACCCCCATTGCGTACCATTCGACCTGCCGCAAGGCCCGTGCAAAAGCTCTACACAAATAGTACGTTCCGAGGAGGATGACCTATGGGTGGCTGCAGCTTGCAAGGACGATGACGCGGCAGTTGCAGTCGTTGATAGCACACTGCAGCCCATCGCAACTCTCCGCCTAACTCCTGCATCCAACCCGGAATCCTCGGAAGAAGCGGCGATCGCACTTGCCCTCACTTGTACTGATGCCCAGTACGTCCATTGTGACTCAAAAACCGCAATTCCAAATTTTGCACAAGGCCGAGTCCATGAGACCGCTTTCGGCATACTCAGCTCGCCCACCCCCAAATATTCGGCCCAACACGTGGAGCTGATCTGGGTGCCCACTCACTATGGAAATCCCGGCAACGAAGCCGCCAATGACCTCACCCGAGGTCTCATCAACCGTGAGGTGGTTGACTAGAGCGGGGCTCCTCCAGAGAGTGCATGCATTCCTTCAGCGATATGACTGAAGCATACCTCGCGGAACACCAGCTATACCCTCCACGCCACCAATCCACGGACAATTTTCACCAGATATTATGGTGTCACCTCCAGACCCGCACACTTCCCTCCCCCTATTTCCTTTCCGCATCTACCCAGGAGCATACTGCCCATCCCGTGCTCAATGCGCTCACCCCCACGTTTCCCTTACCCACACCCTCCTTGAATTCCCAGCGGACTCTCCCCCGCGGGGTCCGCAAGCAGAAGACCGCCACTGACCGGACCACCCACGTCATGCAACTGCATGAACTCATGGACGCATTCGCAAGTTTCGTAGAGTGTCACGCTGCCCCGCGGCCATCGGCAGAATTTTTTCAAAGAGTATCGGTTGGTGGGGCGGCGGCGCTCCTGGGCGCATTTGCTTTATGTTGTTCAAGTCGTCATCGTGGCCTCGAAACGCCTGAATTCAAAAGGCTTCAAAAGCAATCGCATGTGCTGCATACTGCAGTGTACAAACAGAGGATCGACAATAGTCAGCCTCAATTCCTTCCCGAAAGATGGGCCGAGAAAAAAAGAATGGATGGTGAAGTTGAGAATCGGCAAGTCGGTCACATCGCTTATGAGAGTGTGCAGCGCGCACTTATGTCAGCACCGACTACTTCTTGAGCGACATAGGTAAGAAAACGAGGATATATGATTTTTGCTTGCGTCAAGCCGCAGTTTATGGTCGCCATTACATCTCGCCTCGTCAGAAACGCTTATGTTTACATCTTGGGCTGTACCCAGTATGCCATCACTATATAGGTCGAGCTCGAGCTGCACAGTTCTAGACAGCGCGGCGAAAACGAGCAGCTTATGCCATCCCACATGCTTCAGAAAGACGTAACTGTTTGTGGAACCGAGAGAAAGACGTAACTCTTTGTGAAAGGCGCACTCGGCGTCTTGTGAAATATGCACTCTGATACTCTCTGTGGGCGCCATATTGAATCACCCACTGCGCCCCCTATGGGTGACGAAACTTCCGAATAGCGCGGGGGGGGGGGGGGTGTCGTGAAGGGACCTTAGGCCATACGTGCCCGAATCCCTTGGTCAAATGAAGTTTTTACCACCATCACTCTGACAGCCTGTAAAGAATATCTCCTCTTTGAACAAAACACAGTCGTTCGCCAATAATCAAATTCGTGTATCCTTGGGCAGGACATTGGTCAAGACATAGATTATAAATGACAGCGTGCCCAGGATACTCATCTTTGTCTTTTCTTAATTGCGCGAGACACGAAAGACTCCTCACCGATGTGGGTCCTTGTCGCAGCTTGTCCAGGGCAACGATGTTGTCGCTGCTGAATTCCGTCAGCTCCCGCACAGTCTGCTGCTTGGAAAGCTGGGAAAGCAGAGAGATTGTTTTGTTCATAATTTATACCTTGACGCGGAATAATGCTACCGTAGAATCAAGATTTCCGCTTTTTTAAGTGCGATGTATTTCTAAGCGAACTTCGGTGACCTTGAGTGTATCTATCTAGCCGCATACGTTTGGGAGCTCTCGTGGTCACCCCTTTAACTTGACGTGAACCAAAGTTATCATGGGAGGGTAAGATGGTTTCACAAATATGACGCGTGGATCAATTAAGACATTAACTATGTCCTATTCCTGTCGCGTACGTTGTCAAACACTTCCCACCAGACAGTGGCACCTACCCACGGGCGGGTGCGTGCCACAGGTGATTGACACGTAGCATCTGCCCAGAAATGACGAGAGCACAAATGGACAATTTTAACGCGTGATCGTTAAGCAATACACGACATCGGTAGCGTCCACCTAACGAAGGCATAGAATAAATGCCAGTGTTAAAAAAATCACATTGGCAGCGCTGACCCTCCTAAGAATACAAATAAAAAATTTCAGGGTCCCAGCAGGAATCTAACGAATTCAAGAATTCTGTGGGGCAATGAAACATTTTACCACAAAGCTGCGCCAGGTCTCGGAACCACTTTTGAAATAGACGCTAATCTTCGTGAAACATCAATAGTGGTTACAGTGCTGCCTACCTAATTTTATAAACTTTACACGTGTACTCTTTTGATACAGCCGTCACGTCGGGTTAACGTCAATTGTGGTTAGGTGCAATGCGCTGAAGTTGATTTATGTAGCAGTGTCCAGGGCCAGAATCTTTGCTCATAACAGCTTCTGGTGTTGCTAATACGCATGTTTCAGTTGGTATCATTGCGCAAGTGCAAACAATTGCTTATATAAACATCTGCAACTCTTCAACACTTGTCTGTGCGTACAGCATTCGTACATATGTTTAGCGCCCTTTCACGGTGTGTCGATCGCTCATTAAAAAAAATTCCGACACTTTCACCTTCCCCCGCACGATTCGCATAACGTCGATTCCAAGGTACATGGGATCTGCCGAATTTTCAAAGTTTTTGGTAGATCGGCAGGCAAGCCCAATACTTTACGCCAACCTCAAAGAGACTCACAGAGTCGTCCCCTGAAGACGACTCGGAAGCATATCTCATTTCTCGTCAATGTATCCATGCTGCCCCGCCAATCATCGAGACCGTTCTGCATTTCACCTGGTCCTCCGTGACATTTGACCAAACAGTGCAGCCACTTGATGACGTCATCATGTGACATCACAAAATGCCAATGTGTTACATCATTGTGACCTCACATGGTGATGTCATCACGAGATGAAGACTTTTTTTGTCCCTCATACCCAACGCTACGTAATTTGACGTTTGATGAGGTAGTAGTACTTTAAAGTGTACTCGCCAGGCCCCATACAAATTCTTTTTGAACGCTCAAAGTAGTTGTGTGCTCGAAGATGATCCATGCTTCACCAAAAATTTTTATCAGTCAATTCATTACGAGCTGAGGCGACCAGTATTTTAAAGCGGCCCGAAACCATGATGAGCGGAGGCGAGCTCGAAGCCCGTGTCACCCGGCAAGCGAAATCTCTTCCCTACGCTGCCTGACACCCAAGCAAACGGTCACATGCGCACGACCTCCCCGAGGAAGCTCAACGGTGAAACCCCCAAGGACACAAGCGGTGTTGTTATGTTGACCAGCGTTATTATGTGATCTACTGCCTGTTTCTGTGGGGCGAATGCTACGGAGTGTGCTCGTTTGGACACGCAGGCTAGCGATGCGGTAGAATATACGAACATATTGAGTGCTTGAATGCGCAGGACCAGTATTTCATTTCTAAGGCTGGCGTCTGCTCGATGTACTGCGGAGGCGCAAACGCATGTGCAGTGCAGGCCCCGCATCTCGTTGCAATTCACGGGGGGGGGGGGGGGACGAAAAATACGCGCACAATCTCTATTTGGGTCTCGCTATTTACCTCGAAAATATTTAATCTATTCAGGCAAAAAATTGCACGAACTGCAGATGTCATGTGAGATAATTTTCACGCTTTCACGTACTACTGCTCGCCACGTCAAAGCACATTCGTCTGCGTAGAGGACGAACGTCACAGCACTACCATCTACGTACGTCATGCCCTCAATTCTCTTGGTGCGCACCCGTGAAAGGAAGGGCAAGCAGCATTCGTCTTGAAATTTGACGGCACGTAGCATTGCAAGTGCTGGCAAAAGTGATCGCGAACGCCTCACGTATGAGCTGGGATCGTCAGCACAAAATTGTCAAACCTGGTGAGGAGCCCATGAAGGCTTCGCCTTGAAACAGTACGTCTGACTCCTTTAGGACGCAATATTATAAAGATGTGACATACAATCATGCCAAGGAAAGAATAGGGGATGTTATATGACGTAATTGCAATGTTAATATGAAGAAATAATAGTGGATGAAAAGATGACTTGCCGTGGGCAGAGACCGAACCTGCAATCTTCGAATATCGCGTCCAATTCTCTACCAACTCATATACACAATATATAACATCCCCTATTCTTTCCTTGGCATGATTTTATGTTTAATATTATTATTATTATTGTGTCTGCCCCACCGCGGCGGTCTAGTGGCTGAAACACTCGGCTGCTGACCCGCAGGTCGCAGGATGGAATCGCGGCTGCATTTCCGAAGGAGGCGGAAATGCTATAGGCCCGTGTGCTCAAATTTGGGTGCACGTTAAAGAACCCTACGTGGTCAAAAACTTCCGGTGCTCTGCACTATGGCGTCGCTCATAATCATATGGTGGTTTTGGGACGTTAAGCTCCATATATCAAATCACATATCAATATTGTGTCTAACAAACAAAAACAAGCCCATAAGTGTAGGCTTCTTTCCTTTAATAATTATTAAGGATCGTGTTCTGACAGAATTAGCGCCTTTAGGCAGTATACGAGGAATTATTGGTCGGCTACCAGCTCGCGATATTATCACGTGTTACGTTACGCAAAAACAGGCAGAAAAAGTGTTCCACACTAGCTGTCATGGCTACAGGTGGCACTGACATACTTCGATGTTTAATTCACATATATACTCAGTAATATGGACGGCGGGATAGCTGCCGTGGTAGCTCAGTTGATAGAGCATAAGACGCGTTATTCGAGAGCGAGATAGGTCACAGGATGACTGCGATTCATCTTTTCATACACTAATCTTTCTTCGCATTTACATTACAACTTGTTTATATAACATCCCCTATACTTTTTTGGCCTTATTGTCTGGTGTGTCTCATTAATATTGTGCCCAGCAAATAAAAACGAGCCCTTAAGTGTGCACTTTTTTTCCTCCTTTCTGTAGGGTCACGTGATTTCAGAGTGGCCCGCTTAACACCCTCGTGGATCAAATAGCTCTCCAGAGTGAGAGGAGTGTGCACTGACGGCCCGTGTACTTCATGAGCACAACTGCGGGTCGGTGTTTTTCGACGAAATGGAACTTCTGCAATCGAGAACAGACGCAACAGAACCTGGAGCATGATGCGTTACATTAGCAAATATTGAGAGATAAGGGTGAAGGCAATCTGTTTGTTCTAGGAAACAAACTGCCCATCATGTCGCGCTGGTGAATGCTAGCGGTCACACACTTTCAGCAGCGGTGACCCCGTGAGGCTCGTCGACTGACTTCTAAAGCAAATCGTCTTCCTTTTTCCCAGGAATCGACGCCTATCAAGAAATATTGGTGGTACCATCCATCGGTGCGACGACCAGTGGCGCAAACGTTGGATAGCAAGCCTGACGTCATCGCCGAGAACGTATAAAAAGAAGAAGACATCGTGTGTCCCGTCACACACATTCAGCAGCGGTGGCAGCGTGAGGACTGACTACTAAAGCAAATCGCCTTCCTTTTCCTAGGCTCATCTGCATGTAAATTTCGGCATATCCTAGTTGAGTACGCAGTTGCCACTGCTGCTGAGTAACTAACGTGACAGACACTTGCGTTTCTTGTCATGAAGTTGTGCGGGACGCACCATACCTGTCATGTACCAAGTGTAAATACACGTACCTGTTAAAGTGCATGTTGAGGAGCAACTGAATCGGCATATAAAAAAATCTGCAGCAGCGAAAAACTCATGGAGCTGTGCAACTTGCAAAACGTCAAAAGCTCGAAGCAGCAAGAGCGCTGAATTAGAAAAAGTGAAACAGGAAGTGAACATGAGAAAAGAAAAAAATTGAAATTAAGAAGAAATTATCATTACTCCTTTTGATGAAATCACAATTTGACGCTCTGGTAAGCGTTGCCGACACTGTATGTGGTATTGAAAGGTCACTACAGGAAATGTCAAGCAAGTATGATGACGTACTTGCCGAAATGAAGCGACAGAGTACTGATATGAACGGTTTAAAAAAGCGAGTGGGAAAACATGAAATGCAGACTAACGACTGGGAAGTAGAAATGCTTAAGGAAGAAGTTAATAACCTTGATCAATATAGCAGACGCCGTAACCTGGAAATCCATGGACTAGCCAAACAAACTGACGAAGAAGTGATAGAAAAACTTAATCTTTTGGCTTATGAACTAGAGCTTCCAAAATTATCTGAAAAGGAGATCGAAGCCGCCCACCGATTGCGCACCACAGCAGCTACAGATGGGGCTGATAAACCATCGCCTATTATCGTGCGTTTTTCTTCCCGGTGTAATCGTGACGCTTGGCTTGCAAAAAGGGGCAAGCTAAGAAGAAAAAAATCAAATGTTTTCATCAATGAAAATTTGACTGCTCAGGATAAGCGTTTTTTTTTTGGCACATGAAAACAAAGGCAACAGACATGAAATTTCAATTTCTCTGGCTCAAGGACGGAAAATTCTTTGTTCGGCGCAGTCAACGGGACAGAGTAACATGTATTAAGACAGCCAGTGACCTCGACCATATAATATAACCCTAAAAATGACACTACTTTTTTTCCTTGCACCATATAAGCATAAAGTGTTCCTACTTAAAAAAACAGAACAGCATTATAGCGTCAGTATGGAACTGG